AATTCATCCCCCATCACCAGTTTCTTATTCTTCTTCGTGTTTTCTATTGATTATGTTCAAACTTGTCACAAAACAACTAAATTTTAAAAGTTACTTTAAAATTTTTAAAATTCTTATCCTCCATAGTGTATAAATTTATTTGTGTTTAGTGGAGATTTTCAGGCTTGAGGGTGTTACATTTTACCAGTAACACCATACACTTTTAAAAAATGTATTTTTTATTGCAAAGTGATATATATGTGTGTGTGTGTGTATATATATATATATATATATAGAGAGAGAGAGAGAGAGAGAGAGAGAGAGAGGAGGATTTTCTGTCTGATGATTCACTCCCCAAGTTACCGCAATGGCTGGTGCCGTGCTGATCTGAAGCCATGAGCCTGGAGCTCTTCCAGAGGCTCTTCTAGGTCTCCCACATGGGTGCAGGGTCCCAAGGTTTTTGGCCATCCTCGACTGCTTTCCAAGGCCACAAGCAGGGAGCTTGTGAAATTAATAGAAACGTTGAGAAGGTCCTAGTGGCTGGTTACTACCAAAAAAAAAAAAGTGATTTATTGTTGGGGGCACTGACAGTTTCCTGCTCTGTGATTGGCCCTTTGCCCTGGTTGCCGTGCCTTGGTGATCTTTAAGCTGATTGGATAGGATTGATATATAAGCCAGGGGCTTTGGGGAGGGGGAGGAGCTTCTGCCTAAAGGAATTAATGGACATAACGGTTTTAACGGAAGGTTTGAATAAAGCGCCTCTGAGACACTCTCCAGTGTCTGGTAATTTCTTCCGCGGGACGGGAGACCCCAATAATTTATGTGTAGATGAAGGTTGAAAATCTTCAGAAACTGGGTAGTCATGCTCTTTCTCCTACCTTGGAGTGCTGTGATTCTCTTCACACAAATCTATGGAGGAGCAGGCTTTGATCACTAGCTATTGTGTGAGTTGTTCCTATTTGTAAGACGCGGTGTGGAAGGCTCAGGATACAATGTTTCATTTACTCTTTATAATGATTTAGGAAATCATAATTCATTTGCAGTTTAAAGATGAGGCAAGAGAAGCTGGAGGTATTTATCTTTCTTGCCCATTGCCATTCAACTAATATACGATGGTGTTTTTAATTTAGAACTTTCTTCAGTCAGTCTAGTCTTTGTTGAAATATGATGCTGGGTAGGCAAATGAAACACAAATTGTTGGCCGCTGAATCTTTATTTCTGTTTTGTTTCCAAAATGATCATTGCTCTGAGATAGACCTCGAGAAAAGTTAAGTGATTTTATTTTAGAAGAGTTCGTGACTGCCGTCATTTCCTTGTTCAGTTAATGCCACTTTGAGATAAGCATTTGCAAGTTCATTTGTAAATAAGAGCTGCTTTATAAGGACTATGGATCAGTTCAAGTGCCATAAATTAGAAGACTTATTAAAAATAGGAAGCAAATGAGAAGATAGTGGTTGCTAGTATTCATGCAGCATACCAAAGCCAGATATCATGTGCAAAATGACTTTTTTTTTTTTTTGCTGTATATAATAGTGTTTTGGACAAGCCTGAGTGATCATATAATTTTTTAAATTGACAATGTTGGATATTTCAGTTAGACTTTTAAATGCTTACATTTCTGATGAAAGTTTTTAGATGTGTATAAGTGTTTCAGAGTTTATTCTTCTTCAGTCTTATTGGCTCAGAGGCTCGCGCTAAGAACAAATGATGCTATGGCTCAATAAGTGTATTTACCTCAATAAGCAGAGTCAGTATTATAGAGTAAATCCTGTAGTTTCAACTGTACAGTGGTTGAATAGTGCATTTCCATGTGTTGTTTTTGAAGAACCTTCTTAGGTTCTTAGAATGGCTTGCAAATGGGTGATATGGAGCAGCAGGACATTAAACTGTCTTTAATGTCACTGTGGGTGTAATTGAAACGTGACTAAACTGATTTGATGAAGGTGAGACACAATGCTTAATATTAAACTAATTGCATAAGGTCAGTGTCAACAGTGATGTAATATGACCTCTTAATATGCTTTCTATCCATATTCTAAGCATATATCTAAAGATGAATTCAAAGGTACCCTAGTGTCTTTTGTAGGAGCTCATTGAGATAGTGACATGAAATTTAATATGGATTATTAATATGAACAGCCAAAATTCAATCTGGATTACTATGTTATGCATTATACAGAACTATTTTGTGAACTTTATATTCATCCGGTGTTATTTTACACATTTAAAAAAATACTGCAGTGTTGGAAATTGAAACCTAATTAATATCTGGTTTTAATTCCAATATGTGATACAGTCATCTCCCTTGGGTTGAATCTTTCATGTTTCTTTCTCTACCTTGGAATACTCCACATTGCCTATAACATGTCAATCCTCCTGAAACATTAGCATGTAAATATGGTATTTTTCAGATGCTATTGCAATATATTTGGATTGGTGATGAACAATAAAAAGTATAAAAGGGAGGGTGTTTTGTCTAATAGTTAAAATGCCAGATAAGTTAAAAAAACATCCTGTGTTAGGGGATCTGTGTTAAAATCCCACTTCAGCTGCTGACTCCAGCTTCCTGCTAATCCAGATGATGATGGCTTAGTCATTTGGATCCCTGATACTCAGGTATGAGATATGAATTGGATTCCTGGCTCCCAGCTTGACTGTTGCCCAGTCCTGGTAGCCTGTTGCAAGAGAGTGAACCAGTTGACAGGAATTCTGTCTTTAATCCCCTCTCTAAAACATGTTTTAATTAAAAAAATCTATAAAGACTGGTGTTGTTGCATGGCAGGTAAAGTTACCAGCTGCAGTGCCAAATTTGTACTGGCACTGATTTGCGTATTGGGTCCTCCAATTCTGCTCCAGATTCCTGCTGATGGCCTAGAAGTGGTCACTTTAGTGGGAGGCCAGGGTGAAGCTCTTGGCTTCCCACTGTGGTCACCTGTGGATTGAACCAGTGAATGGAAGACATTCTCTACTGTTCCCTGCCTCTCCCTCTCTCTGTAACTCTAACTTTCAAAATAAATAATAGATCTTTTTAAAAAGTATTATAAAATATTAAAGCTACAGTGATACTTATTTGGAATCACTTTCTTTTTTCCCCCTGTTTCAAATTAAATATCTTCTATCATGTTAAATCATTTCCCCAAAATTAGGCAGACTGCAGCAGAAGACTTGAGTCAGTTGCTTCTCTCTTACTGGGGAAGCCATCAGGATAGCAGCACACCGAGGGGTTCTCTGTTCAATTTGCAAGGTGGAACAAAAGCAAAGCAGTCTTTTCCATCCCCAATCGTGGAGGTAACACGTGCAGAAGAGATACCCATATTTCAAGAACAGGGAAAGTGACTGGATAAAAGAAGCAGTACTACCCACTCCATTAGTTCAACACAGAAATACTTGCCAAATCCTGAGCCCAGAATTTTGCTTTTGAGATGAATGAAAAGCACCTAAATCTCAAGAAATGATGTTCTTCCTGTAAGGAACCTCACACGGTCCAACGGTTCCCCTGGGCCTCCTCCTAAGGGCGGTGCAGCCCTGGGGCGGGAGGCAGTCAGACCCGGGGTGCATCACTCCACCATCTTCTTCGTTCCGATGGAATCACTTTCTACTTAAAACTTTCTATGTAACTTTTTCCCTCTTAACTCTTAAGGATGGTATATGAAAAGACAAGTAAATTATGGCCAAAGTTACAAGATCAGGCAATGACAATTCACATTACTTCGTATTCTATTAAATTTCATTGGTGTAACACTAAGATTATTTTCCATTTAGTTGAATTGTTTGAATATTGTATTTTAAGCATAAAATGAGACTCTTAGAGGAAATATAATTAAGTACAGCTTCCCATGTTTTGGATCTCAAGCTCAAAGTTCTTTCAATTAAAAAAAAAACAATTTTTTACCCATAAAATGGATTATGGAAAACATTTTGGTTACTTGAAATACTGATAGGGAACAGGAACCATCAGGAGGGATTTTATTTATTTCATTGAATGATAAAATTAATTCAATAATAGTAGGAGGAGATTGTGCTTTCATATTATGGACTCTCAACACAAAATGACATTTGTCATCTAATATTATTAGCCATGAGACTTACACAGAGGTATCATGCACATGAATGTCAGATATGAAACTCATCTAGATCAATGAGCTTTTCCTTTGAGAGTTATGTTTAAAACTACCAAATTTGGAAGTGTGTTGTTTGATTTCATGATTATGAACTTATTCTGTAATAGATATAAAATCATAACAAGAAGACAGCTAGGTGTAACTACAGTTAAGAATCAGGAACAAAAGATGAGTTATAATCAATAGTAATAATTTTTCAAATATCTTAATGTGCATTTTGAATATTCCATCACAAAAGGGTAATTGAGGTGATAGACATAATTACCCTTATTTGATCTTGAGACGATCTAAATATATCTTGACACAGCATGTTGAACCCATCAGTTTCTTGAGAATAATTATGAGAAGGCAAGCTCAAGTGATAAGAACATGCAGGATGCAGACTGAAAAGTTGTTACTAAACTTCACAACCTCTTTGAGTTTCCTAGCAATCAAAATTAAAGAGCAGTTTGATAATATTCAATTCAATTGAAGTTTAGTAATATGTCTTAAGGGGAAACAGTATCTTCAAAATAAATAAATAGAACATGCCATTTCTCCTTCCTTGTTTTCAGTCTTAAAATTGACCTTTAAACAAAGCTGGTGGTAAACATGTTGAAGAGAAAACCTAAAGCACGCCAACTTGGGTGGTTGAGGAAGTGTACTTACAGTTGCAGGCACAAGGTGTCGCTCTTTACTCGATGCAAAGAGTTTCTTGCTGGGTTGGTCTGAACGCTCCGACATTCCCAATCAATACAAACGGACTCAGTCATGCCGGATATTCTGTTACCGGATCCTTAGGAACTACTGTTGGAAATTCAGTGACATAACGTGACGCAGAAGAACTCAACGAGGTGAGTGTGAAGAATATAATCTTGAAAGCCAATATCGTTTGCAAGATTTGGTTCTCAGAAAGAGGAGATGGATGCTTCCCCCTTGCTGCTCTGGCTTCTGCTGCTCACAGCCTGGCGGGCAGGGAGCGGCCAGCTGCGCTACTCGGTCCCCGAGGAGGCCAAACACGGCACGTTCGTGGGCCGCATCGCGCAGGACCTGGGGCTGCAGCTGGCCGAGCTGGTGCCGCGCCTGTTCCGGGTGGCGTCCAGGGGCGGCGCGGACCTGCTGGAGGTGAATCTGCAGAATGGCATCTTGTTCGTGAATTCTCGGATGGACCGTGAGGAGCTGTGCGGGCGCAGCGCGGAGTGCAGCGTGCACCTGGAGGTGCTGGTGGAGCGTCCTCTGCAGGTGTTCCACGTGGAGGTGGAGGTGAGGGACATCAATGACAATGCGCCCGTGTTTTCGGTCAAAGAACAAAGGCTACAGATTTACGAATCTAAGCCCTCAGATTCGCATTTTCCGCTAGAGGGAGCTACGGATGCTGATATAGAAGAGAATGCTCTCCTAACCTACAGACTAAGTCAAAATGAGTATTTTTCTTTAGAGTTTCCAACGAGTCGTAAACAAACTAAAAGACTCTCTTTGATCTTGAGGAAACCTCTGGATAGAGAGAAAACACCAGAGTTTAGTCTGCTGCTGACAGCCACCGACGGGGGGAAGCCCGAGCTAACTGGCACCACTCAGCTTCACATTTGCGTCTTGGACGTTAACGACAACGAGCCAGAGTTCGATCAGCAGGAATACAAGGTGAGACTAACAGAAAACAGTGCCAGAGGAATGCTGGTGATGCAGTTAAACGCCACAGACCGAGATGAGGGAATCAACGGGGAAATAATTTACTCCCTGATGTCCGTGAAACCCGAGGGAGGAACGTTATTTACCATAGAAGAAAACAGTGGGGAAGTCAGGGTAAACGGAACCCTGGATTACGAAAAAAACAAACATTATGAAATTGAGATACAGGCGAGAGATAAGGGGATTCCACCGATGGCGGGACACTGTACAATCTGGGTAGAAATTTTAGACGCCAACGATAATGTTCCTGAGGTCACCGTGAATACGCTGTCCCTCCCAGTGCCAGAGGACGCCCCACTGGGCACCGTCATCGCCCTCATCAGCGTGTCCGACCGCGACTCCGGCCCAAACGGACAGGTCACCTGCTCCCTCGAGCCCCACGTGCCCTTCAAGCTGGTGTCCACCTACAAGAACCACTACTCGCTGGTGCTGGACAGCGGCCTGGACCGCGAGAGCGTGTCTGGCTACGACGTGGTGGTGAGAGCGCGCGACGCGGGCTCGCCCCCGCGCTGGGCCAGCGCCAGCGTGCGGGTGGAGGTGGCCGACGTGAACGACAACGCGCCACAGTTCGCGCAGGCCGAGTACACGGTGTTCGTGAAGGAGAACAACGCGCCGGGCTGCCACATCTTCACGGTGACGGCGCACGACGCGGACGCGCAGGAGAACGCGCGCGTGTCGTACTCGCTGGTGGAGCGTCGCGTGGGCGGGCGCGCGCTGTCGAGCTACGTGTCTGTGCACGGCGAGAGCGGCCGCGTGTACGCGCTGCAGCCGCTGGACCACGAGGAGCTGGAGGTGCTGCGCGTGGAGGTGAGCGCGCGCGACGCGGGCGCGCCGCCGCTGGGCAGCAACGTGACGCTGCAGGTGTTCGTGCTGGACGAGAACGACAACGCGCCCTGGCTGCTGGCGCGCGGCTCGGGCGGGCCTGCGGGGGCGGCGGTGGCTGCGAGCGAGCTGGTGCCGCGGTCGGCGGGCGCGGGCCACGTGGTGACCAAGGTGCGCGCGGTGGACTTGGACGCGGGCTACAACGCGTGGCTGTGGTTCGAGCTGCAGGCGGCGCCTGCGGGCGGCGCGCGCTGCCCGTTCCGCGTGGGCCTGTACACGGGCGAGATCAGCACGACGCGCGCCCTGGACGAGCTGGACGCTCCGCGGCAGCGGCTGGTGGTGCTGGTGCGGGACCACGGCGAGCCGGCGCTCACGGCCACGGCCACGGTGCTGGTGTCGCTGGTGGACGGCGGTCAGGCGTCGCCGTCGTGGTCGCGGGCATCGGTGGCGGCTGGCGCCTCGGCCTCGGCCTCGGCCTCGGCGGGCGCGCTGGGTGGTGCGTCGTCGCTGGTGGACGTGAACGTGTACCTGGTGGTGGCGATCTGCGCGGTGTCGAGCCTGCTGGTGCTGACGCTGTTGGTGTGGGCGGCGGCGCGGTGGTCGTCGGGTGCGGCGTCGGAGGGCGCGTGCGTGTCGGGTCCGGCGGCGGCTGCGGCGGCGGCGCTGGTGTGCTCGAGCGCGGTGGGGAGCTGGTCGTGCTCGCAGCGGAGGCGGCAGCGGGTGTGCTCTGGGGAGGGCCCGCCCAAGGCCGACCTCATGGCCTTCAGCCCCAGCCTTCCCCCTGATTTTAATAGAGAAGATGATGGGGAAGAGCAGAAGGGAAGTCCCAATCATCTTGGACCGGTAAGTTTTCTAAAATTCCTCGTATTGTGAGGGTGTTAGGTTTTTTTCAAAATAACATTTCTCACTTAAACTTTTGTAAGAGTATATTTTGATTATTTTATTTATTTTTGTTATTCTTTATTTTTATTGTAAAATCAGATGTAGTGAGAGTAGTGCTAGAGAGGAAGATCTGTCCGTTAATTCACTCCCCAAGTGTCTATAGTGGCCGTGATGTAGCCAGTCCGAAGCCAACAGCCAGGAATCTCCTCCAGGTCTCCCACGTGGGTGCACAGTCCCAAGGTGTTAGGCTGTCCTCGACTGCTTTCCCATGCCAGAAGCAGGGAATTGGATGGGACGCAGGACCACCAAGATTGGATCCTGTGCCCATACGGAATGTTGGCTTGTGCAAAGGGAGGAATTTAGCCACTAGGCTATGGTGCTTTGCCCTGTGTATCCTCTTTTAATTTTATGAATAATTTTTAGATAATAAAAATGCAAGTTTTTTTTCACTTACATTTATTAAATATTAAAATATTGAAGAGTAGGTCTTAATTAGTTGGATAAATACCTACTAATTTTCAGTAATCTACATATTTTGCTTCTTGCTCATTGTCAGCAATCCCTACGGATCCAGTTCCTTCGTTTGTGTTGATAGTTTTGTGTTAATAAACACTCTGATTTGCAGGTATATCTCAACATTAGAATACACTGTCTCCCTTAGCACCGCATCAAGGTTTCTTTTTCTGTAGTGTTAAAAAGCTCCTGATCAGCTTTGGATTCTGATGTGAGCATTTTACTGAAATAATAGTGTAAGACACTGTCTGTTCTTTGTCTTTTTTCCCCATTAATTATTGAGACATTTGTCAGTGGCTAGGTACTCATATTTAGACCTCTAAAGGAAACCTGGTACATTTTAAAATCAAATATTCAATCATAGCATGGAAACTTGGAAAAGACGTGCACATAAAACCTGATTTATATGGTAAATTATATTCTTTTATTGATTTAATTCAGCTAGAATGGAAAACGCTTACTGAGTGCCCGCTGAGATTGATTACCTTCATTCATTTCCTGCTTTATCTGCTCTCTTTAAAGGCTTTATCTGTAATATTTGTACTCTTTCCTTTGCCTGTCGTGTAATGACATCTGCAGGTTCTAGCAAAATCCCTTTTCTCTAGGTCATTCTTCTAATTCAGTGATTCCTAGCTACATGTACTTTAGTGGACTTGGAGTCTGCCTTTTTAAAAACAGTAAAAATTTTAAAAATGCTTTGTACCTGAATGTTAATTGGTCCAAAGCATTATTTCAGGATTAAAGCATAAGCAACAAGGCATAACATATTTCAGCCTCCACTGATTAAATCATTTTTATGAATTTTCAAGCATAATAAATGTGAACTTTTGATAGAGAAAAGATTACACAATTACAAATCAACTTTCTGTAATAACTCAAGATCATTTACATTTACTTTAAAAAGACATTGAAGTGTTTTCAGGATAGGGTGAAATTCTGTAAAAAAGCAATGTATGCTCTTAATAATTCCAAATTACTTCACTTATTTCTACAGGTATGTTTTGTATTTGTTCTTGAAGTCAGGGGTACATTCTTTGATATAAAATTATAACTTAATTTATCTTTTAGTTCAGTGAAATTCTAAACTAATCTTACATTGCCTTGTCTGCTTAATTATTTAATCGTATTGACTATGCTATAGGAACCACATGACATGGTATTTTTTATTCATGGAACTTTTTCTAGCAACTATGTGACATGGGCTGTTTTTTGAAAATGGAAAATAGGAAATGAAACACGGTGGTTATTATGAGAACCTAAAGAATTAGTTTGACAGCATAAAAATTCAAATGTTTTTGGTTAATGAAGAGCCACTTACACAGTTTTCTTATACTTGTAGCCATTCTTATTTTCTGATTATGTAAAGACGTCACATTTCAGTTACCTTCATTATTTTTATATGTAAAAAGAATGACAATAAGGTATTGATGTAAAGATTTTGACTTTAATAATAAGCTTACAAACTATATTTTCTCATGATGATCAGTGGGATCTTTATCTGCATTCTGTTTTCCCCTAAAGCTGCTTTTGAATTAGTGATTACAATCGCCAGGTTCTTTTGATTCTCCTTTGCTTCTTAGCCACTATCCTGGGTTTTTTAAGAGAAGCTCATTTTGAGCAAATGCTCAGATCTTTCCATGAGGAAGGATTTTGTGGGAAACCAACAACATAAAGTTCATGTTCTTTTGACTTTAGACAATGAGATGTGGCTTAAAAAATATATAAAACACTTCAAGAGATCGCTTTTACATTAATGTTCTGTTGCCATCTTGGGATATTTCATTACTAGGATGCTTTGAATCAACATCTTTCATGAAAACAGTAAACTCTTTCTCGAGTTAGACTTTCAAGAACGTGTACCTGAACTTTGTTTTAACTTGTTATGGGAATAGGAATGGTTGTATGAAAAGCTATCATTTTTTTAAAGCATCAAGACATTCTCAATATTTATGAGGAATTAGAATTTTCATCTAGAGTCTATGAGTGAAACAGTTGATAAAATAAATGGAATATTTTTTTAATTAATTGAAATATTTTAGTTTGTTTTACTAGTTGATGAAATTCTTGGCTTTCTTCTGAAGTGTACAATGAAGTGTTTGTTAAGGTGGAAAATCACGACAGCAAAATGTGAGTTGCCTGCTGTCAGGCAAAGGGTGATGTGTACTAATCTGTGTGTAATTCTTCATGGCGGATAGAGGGGCTTCTGCTTAATCTGTGACACTTTGGAACAGTAACTAAGACATGAAAAAGCATTCGTGCTGTGTTCCTAATATCATACGCATGCACATGGACTAAAAGTACATGTACAAACATCCACGAGAATATTCAAAAGTTGAAACCGACTTATAATGATCCAGGAAGTGGCCAGACCAAAAGAGACTCAAGGATTGCGCTTGTACTAACATAACCAGTCACATGATGTCGCTGTATACTCAAAAGGTGAAGAAGAATAACTCCGCATTCAGATTCCAGCCTTTTAGAGTAGGGTGGATTCCATATTGGCCAGAGCTGGATACAATCTAGTATGTGTTTCTGGAACTGGGAGGCAGCACATAAAGACCTGAGGCAACCGCTCGCTTAAATCTCTCTAAGTCTTACCCCAGAGGGCCAGTTTATCTGCGATGCTGTTTTCCTGGCGAAGAAACGTGAGAACACAGCGCCTGCTGCTCTGGCTTCTGCTGCTCTTTGCAGCCTGGCGGGCAGGGAGCGGCCAGCTGCGCTACTCGGTCCCCGAGGAGGCCAAACACGGCACGTTCGTGGGCCGCATCGCGCAGGACCTGGGGCTGCAGCTGGCCGAGCTGGTGCCGCGCCTGTTCCGGGTGGCGTCCAGGGGCGGCGCGGACCTGCTGGAGGTGAATCTGCAGAATGGCATCTTGTTCGTGAATTCTCGGATGGACCGTGAGGAGCTGTGCGGGCGCAGCGCGGAGTGCAGCGTGCACCTGGAGGTGCTGGTGGAGCGTCCTCTGCAGGTGTTCCACGTGGAGGTGGAGGTGAGGGACATCAATGACAATGCGCCCGTATTCCCTGAAAGTAAGAAAAAAATCACCATCGACGAATCCATACCACCGGAAACCCGGTTTCCACTAGATGGCGCATCTGATGCAGATATTGGAGTAAATTCTGCCTTAACCTACCGACTAGACCCCAGCGATTATTTCTCTTTGGACCCGCAAAGCAATCGTGAGCAAACGTCTTCCCTGTCACTCGTGTTGAGGAAAACCTTGGACAGAGAGGAAATCCGGGAACATAGTTTATTACTGACAGCCAGCGATGGAGGAAAGCCCGAGCTGACAGGTACCGTTCAACTGCTGATCACGATTCTGGATGTGAATGACAACGCACCAGCATTTGACCAATCTGTGTACGAAGTGAGAGTGTTAGAGAATGCCCCTAACGGAACACTGGTGATCAGACTCAATGCGACAGATCCTGATGATGGTACAAACGGAGCTGTCGAGTACGCATTCAGAAAGCCTCTGTCTCCAGCTGTGGCCAATGCATTTACCATACATCCCAGCAGGGGTGAAGTAAGGACAACAGGGAAACTGGATTTTGAACAAAATCAATTGTATGAAATTTACGTGGAAGCAATCGACAAAGGTCATATTCCAAGGACGGGTCATTGTACCCTTTTGGTGGCTATCCTAGATATAAATGATAATGCACCGGAAATTATAATTACATCTCTGTCACTGCCCATCAGAGAGGACGCCCCACTGGGCACAGTCATCGCCCTCATCAGCGTGTCCGACCGCGACTCCGGCCCAAACGGACAGGTCACCTGCTCCCTCGAGCCCCACGTGCCCTTCAAGCTGGTGTCCACCTACAAGAACCACTACTCGCTGGTGCTGGACAGCGGCCTGGACCGCGAGAGCGTGTCTGGCTACGACGTGGTGGTGAGAGCGCGCGACGCGGGCTCGCCCCCGCGCTGGGCCAGCGCCAGCGTGCGGGTGGAGGTGGCCGACGTGAACGACAACGCGCCACAGTTCGCGCAGGCCGAGTACACGGTGTTCGTGAAGGAGAACAACGCGCCGGGCTGCCACATCTTCACGGTGACGGCGCACGACGCGGACGCGCAGGAGAACGCGCGCGTGTCGTACTCGCTGGTGGAGCGTCGCGTGGGCGGGCGCGCGCTGTCGAGCTACGTGTCTGTGCACGGCGAGAGCGGCCGCGTGTACGCGCTGCAGCCGCTGGACCACGAGGAGCTGGAGGTGCTGCGCGTGGAGGTGAGCGCGCGCGACGCGGGCGCGCCGCCGCTGGGCAGCAACGTGACGCTGCAGGTGTTCGTGCTGGACGAGAACGACAACGCGCCCTGGCTGCTGGCGCGCGGCTCGGGCGGGCCTGCGGGGGCGGCGGTGGCTGCGAGCGAGCTGGTGCCGCGGTCGGCGGGCGCGGGCCACGTGGTGACCAAGGTGCGCGCGGTGGACTTGGACGCGGGCTACAACGCGTGGCTGTGGTTCGAGCTGCAGGCGGCGCCTGCGGGCGGCGCGCGCTGCCCGTTCCGCGTGGGCCTGTACACGGGCGAGATCAGCACGACGCGCGCCCTGGACGAGCTGGACGCTCCGCGGCAGCGGCTGGTGGTGCTGGTGCGGGACCACGGCGAGCCGGCGCTCACGGCCACGGCCACGGTGCTGGTGTCGCTGGTGGACGGCGGTCAGGCGTCGCCGTCGTGGTCGCGGGCATCGGTGGCGGCCGGGCCGCCTCGGCCTCGGCCTCGGCGGGCGCGCTGGGTGGTGCGTCGTCGCTGGTGGACGTGAACGTGTACCTGGTGGTGGCGATCTGCGCGGTGTCGAGCCTGCTGGTGCTGACGCTGTTGGTGTGGGCGGCGGCGCGGTGGTCGTCGGGTGCGGCGTCGGAGGGCGCGTGCGTGTCGGGTCCGGCGGCGGCTGCGGCGGCGGCGCTGGTGTGCTCGAGCGCGGTGGGGAGCTGGTCGTGCTCGCAGCGGAGGCGGCAGCGGGTGTGCTCTGGGGAGGGCCCGCCCAAGGCCGACCTCATGGCCTTCAGCCCCAGCCTTGCTCCTTATCTGGACTCTGCAGGTGAAAATGAAAAAGGAGAAGAGGATTCAGAAGTTTTGAAAGAGGTAACCTTGTACTTAAAATCGATGTGCGCTTTCTTCCTTGTTTGTTTGAAGTCGCTTTCATCTCATTTTTAATATAATGTTTCAGGTTAGTTTTGATTTCCCTCATCTCTGTATTTTGCAATCTGCTCCACGTTTGATATGATACAAGTTACATTTATGCAAGTAGTAGGTTTTTTAAAATATGATATTTTAAATCTGATACTCTGGAAGAATGAATGTGTCTGTATACAATTATTCCATCAGTTCTTACACTCTCCAGATGACTATAATGGAGAGAGATAAGCTGTTCTCAAGCCTGGAGCCACGAGCTTCTTCTGGGTCTCTGCTGTGGTGGCACCTGGCACTTGGACCAGCTTCCTAGATGCATTAGCAGGGACCTGGATCAGGAATGAAGCAGCCTGGACTTGAACTGACGCCCAATGGAATCTCGTTTATGTGCCCGTGTTGTAGGCCACAGTCTTTCCTCTTACACCACAATACTGGCTCCCAAAATTTCTCTTGTCCTGCCTTAATGTCTTTCTCTATCAGTTTGCCTTTAAAAATGAGTAGATATGAACTGTGGTTATGCAACAAGGTGGAGGAATCCACCATGGGGGGAGGGGTATGGGAGGGGTGGGGGGAATTCCCCAGCGCCTATAAAACTGTACTACATAATACAATGTAAGCAACAATAAAAAAAAATGAGTAGATATGAAGTTCAAGGAAAGATTTAATATTTACTGGTATGCATCGCTTTGGTTTTGTTTTAAAAAGAATTTTATTTACTTTTAATTAAAAAATTAATCTTTTTTAATATAAAGACAACAAATTTGATGTATTTCATAGGTAAAATTTTAAGATCACTATATTTCCTTCCTTCTTTCTCTCCTACCTCTCCACCTTCATTCCCCTCCTTTCTTTCCTTTGCTATTTTTAAATCTTTTGTAAAAATGTAACTTCAGTCCATTTTATCATCATAGGCTTCTTGAGTTACTACTAACCATAAAATTCAACAAGTAAAAAGTAGAAACCCTGAAGTTCTACACATTATGAACAAATGTTAAAAACAGTAATGAAATCAAAAGATGGCTATTTAATTCTCCTACATTTTAGTATTTCATGTTAACCTCCACATATCAGAGAAACAAATCTTTACTTTTCTGGACTGGCTTATTTCTGTAAGCATAATGGCTTCCTGTTACATCTATTTTGCTTGAAAAGGAAGATTTTGTTCTTTTTTATGGGTAACACTCTGCAATGTGTGTGTGTATACATATACATGTTAGGGTGTATATATACATACATGCATATCTGTATGTGTGTGTATACATATATATGAACATACAGATGATGGCCTTCTGGGTTGATTCCATTATCTCAGCTAATGTTCACTGAGCTGGTGTTGTGATGCCTCTTGTTTTTTATTGTTTATGATTGGTTTAGCTATTTGGGGTTCCCTTGTGTTTCCACATGAATTTTACCATTATGTTTTCTCGATCTGAGAAGAGCATCCTTGGTATTTTGACTGGTATCACATTGAATCTGTACATTGAAGTGGGTAGTATAGACATTTTGATTATATTAATTCTTCCAATCCATGAATGTGGAAGACAGGAAAAAAGACTTTTTTTGTGTCTTTGTCTATTTCTTTCCTTAATGTTTTTAAGTTTTCATTATAGAAATCTTTCATATTCATGGTTAAATTTATTTCAAGATATTTAAGTTTTTGTTTCTACTATGAAGGGTACAGATGTTATAAGTTCTTTCCCAGTCCTGGCACTGTTTGTATATACAAAGGCTGTTGATTTTTGCATGCTGATTTTGTATCCTGAAACTATTGAACTTCTTGTAAGTTTAATAATCTCTTAGTAGAGTCTTTGGTTCCTCTCTATATAGGATCATGTCATCTGCAAACAGGAATAATTTGACTTCTTCCTTTCCATTGTATGTGCTTTTGATTTATTTTTCTTGCCTAATAGCTCTGGCTAAAACTTCCACAAGTGTTTTGAAAACATTGGTAAAAGTGAAAATCTTTTTCTGCTTTTGAATGTTAGTGGGAATATTTACAACATTTTCCTCATTCAGTATGATGCTGTCTATGGGTTTGTCATAAATTGCCTCAATTCTATTGAGAAATATTCCTACCATAGCCAATTTGCTTAAGATTTTTTTTATCGTGACAGCACATTTATTTTATCAACTACTTTCTCTGCTTCATTGATATAATTCATGTGATTTTTCTGTTTAATTTGCTAATCAGATGTGTTATATTCATTGTTTTATGTACGTTGAACCATCCATGCATATCAGAGGTAAATTTCACTTGATACAGGTGAATGATCTTTTTGATTTTTTTATGATGTATTGTTGGCTTTGATTTGCTAGTATTTTCTTGAAGATTTTTTAAATGTTGTTTTATTGAAAAGTCAGATTTCATAGAGAAGAGAGACAGAAAAATATTCCATCCATTGTTTCATTCCCCAAGCAGCTGCAATGGCCAGGGCTGAGCTTATCTGAAGCCGAGTCTCCCACAAGGGTGCAGGGTCCCAAGGCTTTGGGCCATCCTCTGGTGCTTTCCCAGGCCACAAGCAGGGAGCTGGAAGGGAAGTAGAACAGTTGGAATAAGAACTTTGATGGGATCTCAGAGGATGCAAGGCAAGAACTTTAGCCACCAGGCTACCATGCTGGACCCTGTTGAAGATTTTTGCATCTATATTCATCAGTGATATTGGCCTGTAGTTCTCTTTGTATGTTGTATGTTTTTCTGGTTTTGGAATTAAGGTGATGTGTATCTCCTAGAAGGATTTTTAGGAAGATTCCATCCCTTTCAGTTGTTTTGATTAGTTTGAGAAGAATCAGAATTAATTCTTTGATAGTTTAGTAGAATTTAACAGTGCAGCAGCCAACCAGCCCTGGGTTCTCCCAGGAGCCAGGAGCTTCTTCAGAGTCTCCCACGTGGATACAGGTCCCAAGGCTTTGGGCTGTCTTGACTAGTGCTTTTCTAGCCCACAAGCAGGGATTTGGGTAGGAAGTGGAAGAGCCAGGACACAAACTGACATCCATATGGAATGCTGGCTCTTGCAAGGTGAGGATTTAGCCATTGAGTGATCATGGCAAGCCCTGTTACGAACATTTTTAAGTGATTTTGTTTAGAAAATATGTTAGGAGGGCCTATCACTTTGACTCACTGTAAATCCTTGACTTTCCTACAGTGGTTGCAGGTGCCAAAACCAGCCAATCCAAGTCTTTCATGTGGTGACAGGGACCCAGCCAGTGGAGCCTTCATTGCTGACGCATGGTCTTTATTGGCAGGAAGCTGGTCAGGAGTAAGAGTGATATAAGTGTCCTAGTCAGCATCTGACTGCTGGACCGAATGCCCACCATCATCTTGTATTGTCTTAGTGTTTGTTTGGTGTTACATTCCTTCCCGTTTAGTTTTCATTTGTGAAAAAAAAAAAAAAAAACTTGTACTTTTATTTCTAATTATTGACTGTGTTCTCTCCTTTTTTTTTTTTTAAAGATTTATTTTTATTATTATTTTTTTTTATTGGAAAGGCGGATATACAGAGAGGAGAGACAGAGAGGAAGATCTTCCGTCCGATGATTCACTCCCCAAGTGAGCGCAACGGGCCGATACTATGCCGGTCCGAAGCCAGGAGCCTCTTCTGGGTCTCCCACACGCGGGTGCAGGGTCCCAAAGCTTTGGGCCATCCTCAACTGCTTTCCCAGGCCACAGGCAGGGAGCTGGAAGGGAAGCGGGGCTTCCGGGATTAGAACCGGCGCCCATATGGGATCCCGGGCGTGCAAGGCGAGGACCTTTAACCACTTGCGCCACCGCGCCGGGCCCTCTCCTTTTTTTTTTAAAGTCCTTTTCTTTAGCCATCATTTTACTGAGACTTTGTAATTCTGATATGTGTATTTTTGCATAGTTTTTTTAATTGTTCTCTCAAAATTTTTAGGTTGTTTCCAAACTATGGAAAGATTTTATGAAACTTTATTTTTGTGTGGCTTCATTCTCTCTAGTGTAATTTCTGCCTCTCATTTAGAAAAGCAATTTTGTGCTATTTTTTGTGCTATATTTTCATGTAAATATCATATAGATTTTTTTTCTACAATTTTAGAAGAAACAGATTGGGATAGTCTTTCTAGCTTTATTGCTTTTGATGTGGATTTATTAAGTTATTCTAGGAAAAAAGAAAAACACGTAGTTTTTTTTTTTTTTTTTTAATCTTTGCTGCCCATTTTAATCTGCTTTCTTCATTGAATCATTCTTTCTCTGCCTGATTTGGGCTTCATTCCTTCCTGTTCATCCTAGAAAAATGATTCTCCATTCACAGAGCCAAGACAGCTTTAGCTCAATCCAGTCCTTCTGTAGTTCTCATCCATCAGATTTTGAATTAGCATGTTCAGTTCACTGTCTTTACAATCTTGATTAATGTTTTCAGATTGTCCTTTCTTATTTCTAAGTAGGCCCTCATTGGTACCATTGGGTTTCTCCAATTTTCAACGCTGTCCAAAGCCCCATCATCTTCCTCTGCTTCTTCCTGTGTTGTAACTGAAATTACACATGTCTTGTCGTGCCAGTGGCTTTTCCTACCTCCTTGAATTTGATGGATCTTGGGCAGAACCATCATACCTAATTTTGTTGCAAAAACACTCAGTAGTTTTTTTTTTCTGTCTTAGATTCTTAATTATTTTGTGTTGTGAGTTTTTAGATATTAAAGCCATACTGGCATCATCACCATCTTTTCATATTTTCCATTAAATTTAGTTTTCTTCTTCAAAAACATATTTCTTTAAAGTATTTTTAAATTTCTATTTTTTGGCTTAAAAGTTACACATTATACTTATATTTTGTTGAACAGAAGTAGAGGTAGAAGTTTGACCTAACTTCTGCCTAGAAGGATTTTGATAATGTGAAATAAAAGGGTATTCATTTAGATTAGTCACAATGGACTGTTACACACTGTATAAAGTATGTGTGTGTCCTAAAGTGGACATGGTTTTCCAAACATGTTTCCTATGCTTAACAGATACCAAGATTTGCATTTTAAGTGTGT